TCTCTTCTCTCTCTCTCTCTTTCTCTCTCGCTCTCTCTCTCTCTCTTTCTCTCTCTCTCTCTTCTCTCTCTCTCTCTCTCTCTCTCTCTCTCTCTCTCTCTCTCTCTCTCTCTCTCTCTTGTGATCAGACTCAGATGTTGTGTTTGCATGAATTTCTAACACCCAGAGTTTAAATCCTGTTTCTGAGCCGCTGTATGAAAGAGGACGAGGACAGAGGGAAGTGAAATGAACAGATGCATATTAAGTGTCCCGTGTTCTGGTCCTCAGGGTCACAGTGACTACAGCAACACAGAGCATCAGCAGCAGAACACTGAGCGCTGAGCATCTCACTGCTTAGAAGGTGGAGTGAACCCCAAAGGGGTCTCTGTGCTTAAGGAGGGTCTTGGTTGAAGACAGACACTGATCATTTCTGTCAAAAACTGCACACCAATACTCTCCTGTGTCTTCCAGAGAGACATTAGAAATCACCAATCTCCCATCACTCTCCCTGCGCACATCGCTCCTGATCTGACTAAAAAATAAACTAATGGTTCTTCCTTTGGTTCGGTTCGACTTAAAGAACCAAAATTGATGCTGATACTGTTCCCCATCTTTGCATTTGAGAGTGACTTCTTCTCCCCCTGAGAAGAGCTCTACAGCAGGGGAGGGGAATTTGGGGCACACCAACAGATAATATGTTTTCACAGTATTAAAGGTATTACAAGAGTACAGACCTGCGTGATTTAACGTTACCGATGGTAACACCAGAGAGTAGTTCTGGTCCATTACACCCACAGAGAGGTTATGTTGTCCTTGGTGAATGGTGTCAACTCTAGTCTCCCAATATGGAGGCTTCTTTTCATTGAAACCAGAGTCAGGGCACTGCAGCACAACCGTGTCTTCCACTGAGTGATAGATCCACTCTCTGTCCAGTTGATACTCTACAGTCTCACCACTAACACACTGCTGTTGGTTCATCAGCAGACAGGTGTATTCTCCGAGGTCAGCTGTTGAGAAGTTGGATATACGTAGAGCTGATGTGTTCTTCACCACTTGGTATCTTCCTCTATCATTGTCCATCACTGATGCCGTATTGTCCCCAAAAACTCTGGTCCATATTTTCTGTTCATATCGATAATCCCGTTTGAGCCACTGGACATCCAGGTGGTCAGCTGCTCCACGACAAGGCAGGTCTTTTGTTTCTTCATCTTTCATGTATTCACTCCAGGGCCCATCTATTGAACCACAAACAGTAACTGTGATGTTTTTCTCATGAGTCACTTTGCCCTCAGTCCAGCACTCCTCTTGGTACAGGCCGGAGTCTGAATGGGTCAGGTTGTTGATCTTGTAGGAAGAAGTATCGGCCATGCTGACGAGTCGTTGTTTCAGGTCTTCAGGTACTGAGGAGTTCTGGGGCCAGAGGTCAGAGGTGTTCCACAGGACCAGCTTCTCCTCACCAACACATCTGGAGATCAGGCAGGAGCCGGCCTCCTCTGGGAGCTCGAAGGTGAAAGAGTCTCTTTCCTTTCGGATGATGATGAGTTCTTCAGCGTGAATGTTGCTGATGAGAGCAAACAGCAGCACGGAGAGCTCTGAGACTGCAGCCATTCTGCTCGGAGGTTTCCTCGTGAGTGTTGTGCAAACACTGACACCGCTCACTTATAAGATCTGAGTCAACCCTCAGCAACAGCGTCTCATTGGTGGACCGAAACATGACATCTTTATCTCATCGTCAGTGGAAACTTTGAAGGGTTAGGGTTATCCGTAACAACAACATCTGTTTCCATTTTTGTATGCAGATTACACCCAGATGTATTAAAGCTGCTAACCTCTCTCTCTCTAACACTGGTCTCTCTCTCTCTCTCACTGGTCTCTCTCTCTCTAACACTGGTCTCTCTCTCTCTCTCTCTCACTGGTCTCTCTCTCTCTAACACTGGTCTCTCTCTCTCTCTCACTGGTCTCTCTCTCTCTAACACTGGTCTCTCTCTCTCTCTCACTGGTCTCTCTCTCTCTAACACTGGTCTCTCTCTAACTGCCTCCAGGATATCCAGAAATCGACCATCAACACAGTTTATACAATCATGTAAATTAAACGGTTCAATCATGCTTTTATCACCTCAGAAATATTACAAACATCAGATCCTCCTCTCTACCAAAAACTTGGAAACTGTGATCCATGCTTTCAGTGTCTCTGCATCAGGTACAGCAAATGTTTTGTCCCTGTGTTCCCTTAAAATCAATTCAAACACCATGACACAATTCCATCTGATTAATGATAAAAACTTAGAGGACATTATTCAACTTCTGAAATCCTCCTCCTTCTGCCTTGATATTATTCCAACAGGCTTTTTCAAAAAATGGCCTCAGATCTACTTCATATAGTAAACAAGTCTCTTCACTCAGGTGTTTTTCCACAGTTCCTGAAAACTGCAGTCATTAAACCGCTCTTAAAAAGAATAATCTAGATGCTTCAGTAATGAACAATTACAGGCCCATATCAAACCTGCCATTTCTAGGTAAAATCATTGAAACGGTAGTTTTTCAACAGCTGAGTAATTTCTTGCATTTAAATAACTGTTTCGATGTGTTCCAGTCAGGCTTTCGTCCAACCACAGCACTGAGACTGCTCTTGTTAAGGTCTTCACAGACAGTGGCAGACCTTCAGTGTTAGTATTATTAGATCTCAGCGCTGCGTTTGACACTGTTGACCGCAACATATTACTAGACCGACTGGAAACTGGGTGGGACTTTCGGCAACAGTTCTAAATTGGCTTGAATCCTACTTAAAGGACAGAAACAACTTTGTTTCTATAGGTAAATACACATCTGAATTGACAAATATGACATGTGGGGTTCCTCAAGGCTCCATCTTGGGGCCTCTTCTCTTTAACATCTACATGCTACCACTGGCTCAGATAATGAAAAACAACTAAATAAGTTACCATAGCTATGCGGATGACACACAAATTTACATAACCATTTCACCAGGAGACTATGCTCCAATTCAACACTGAGTAAGTGCATTGAACAAATCAATGAGTGGATGTGTCAGAACTTTCTCCAATTAAACAAAGATAAAACTGAGGTAATGGTTTTTGGAGCGAAGGCAGAACGTGACATATGCGGTGCTTGCTTTCTAGACCGACAACTTTTTGGTGCTTGAAACGAACCGGATTCCGGAGCTTAGAGGCGGCTCCGCTGCGGTGTGAACAGGAAAAAACGGTGCTTTTCAAGCTCCAGCTCCGAACCGGCCCTGGAACCGTGTTGGTGTGAAAGGGGTATAAGAAAGTGGATCAGTCCAGTTCTGAAGTCTTTACACTGGTTCCTCACTAACACTAAGAAAGTGGATCAGTCCAGTTCTGAAGTCTTTACACTGGTTCCTCACTAACACTAAGAAAGTGGATCAGTCCAGTTCTGAAGTCTTACACTGGTTCCTCACTAACACTAAGAAAGTGGATCAGTCCAGTTCTGAAGTCCTTTACACTGGTTCCTCACTAACACTAAGAAAGTGGATCAGTCCAGTTCTGAAGTCTTTACACTGGTTCCTCACTAACACTAAGAAAGTGGATCAGTCCAGTTCTGAAGTCTTTACACTGGTTCCTCACTAACACTAAGAAGTGGATCAGTCCAGTTCTGAAGTCTTTACACTGGTTCCTCACTAACACCAAGAAAGTGGATCAGTCCAGTTCTGAAGTCTTTACACTGGTTCCTCACTAACACTAAGAAAGAGGATCAGTCCAGTTCTGAAGTCTTTTCACTGGTTCCTCACTAACACGGAGAAAGTGGATCAGTCCTGTTCTGAAGTCTTTACACTGGTTCCTCTCTAACACTAAGAAAGTGGATCAGTCCAGTTCTGAAGTCTTTACACTGGTTCCTCACTGACACTAAGAAAGTGGATCAGTCCAGTTCTGAAGTCTTTACACTGGTTCCTCACTAACACTAAGAAAGTGGATCAGTCCAGTTCTGAAGTCTTTACACTGGTTCCTCACTGACACTGAGAAAGTGGATCAGTCCAGTTCTGAAGTCTTTACACTGGTTCCTCACTAACACTCAGAAAGTGGATCAGTCCAGTTCTGAAGTCTTTACACTGGTTCCTCACTAACACCAAGAAAGTGGATCAGTCCAGTTCTGAAGTCTTTACACTGGTTCCTCACTAACACTAAGAAAGTGGATCAGTCCAGTTCTGAAGTCTTTACACTGGTTCCTCACTAACACTAAGAAAGTGGATCAGTCCAGTTCTGAAGTCTTTACACTGGTTCCTCACTAACACTAAGAAAGTGGATCAGTCCAGTTCTGAAGTCTTTAGACTGGTTCCTTACTGACACTAAGAAAGAGGATCAGTCCAGTTCTGAAGTCTTTACACTGGTTCCTCACTGACACTAAGAAAGAGGATCAGTCCAGTTCTGAAGTCTTTACACTGGTTCCTCACTAACACTAAGAAAGAGGATCAGTCCAGTTATGTAGTCTTTACAGTGGTTCCTCACTAACACTAAGAAAGTGGATCAGTCCAGTTCTGAAGTCTTTACACTGGTTCCTCACTGACACTAAGAAACTGGATCAGTCCAGTTCTGACGTCTTTACACTGGTTCCTCACTAACACTAAGAAAGTGGATCAGTCCAGTTCTGAAATCTTTACACTGGTTCCTCAGTGACACTAACGGCCCGTCCACACAGCAGCGTTAAAAAAATCTTCCAACGCTTCTGCCCATTCACTTTGAATGGGGTGACGTCACTTTGCCTCACTTTTCGCCGAACTGCATTGTGGGCAGCAGAGCGGAGATTTTCAGGATTTTCAGGATTCAAAAGTTGAGCAATGTTCAACTTTTGCAGCTGAGGTGGAAGCGTCAGCCAATCAAATCCCGTTTATGCAAATCTGACAGTTCAAGCGCTAGCCAATCAAACCGCGTGTATGCTGGGAGAGACATACCGCAGGTCATTTCCTCATATTCCAAAAAATGGAGGAGAAATTAGCGGTAGGGAATCACCCGGTGCTTTATGACCAGTCCCTATTTACCTACCGGGATACAAACCGGAGGAGCCAGGCATGGAGGGAGGTGGCAGAGACAGTGGTAGGTTTTCGCCTGTTTGGGGAGTTTATATCCATTTTACTTCGGGCTTTTTTGCTTCGTATGTCGGGGGCGGGAGATTCATGTGATTGGTTGTTGGTCGCGTTGCTCGCAAAAAATCCCCAAGCTTCAGATACGCCCACCTCCAAGATTTTTTTAACGCTGCTGTGTGGACGCTCCATAAGAAACTGGATCAGTCCAGTTCTGAAGTCTTTACACTGGTTCCTCACTAACACTAAGAAAGTGAATCAGTCCTGTTCTGAAGTCTTTACACTGGTTCCTCACTAACACTAAGAAAGTGGATCAGTCCAGTTCTGAAGTCTTTACACTGGTTCCTCACTAACACTAAGAAAGTGGATCAGTCCAGTTCTGAAGTCTTTACACTGGTTCCTCACTGACACTAAGAAAGTGGATCAGTCCAGTTCTGAAGTCTTTACACTGGTTCCTCACTAACACTAAGAAAGTGGATCAGTCCAGTTCTGAAGTCTTTACACTGGTTCCTCACTAACACTCAGAAAGTGGATCAGTCCAGTTCTGAAGTCTTTACACTGGTTCCTCACTGACACTAACGGTCCGTCCATACAGCAGCGTTAAAAAAATCTTCCAACGCTTCTGCCCATTCACTTTGAATGGGGTGACGTCACTTTGCCTCACTTTTCGCCGAACTGCATTGTGGGCAGCAGAGCGGAGTTAATCTGCAACAGGCTTTACCACGATGCCATGAGTTATTGATTGTGACTAAATATCGGCACTGCTTTTCTCTCATGTTTTATTTTGGAAGAAGTGATGTGCATGCATAAATTATACTTGTTAAGACTTAGCTTGCAATAATTGCTGCTAATTCAGCCTGTCATCAACAATGTGATGCGTTTGTGACTGTAAAAGGATTTTCTTTTGTCTGCATGC